TCCTATGATGCTGCTTGGCCTGCTGTGTTCATCCAGCTCTGCACCTTGTTCTCTCGAAATTACAGTCAGGTTACATCTTCTGGAATGTTCTGTCTTCTCCATTGATCTTCGGTAAGGAACGCCTCTTCTTTTGAACTCTTTTGTCAGAATATTAACTAAGAGTGCTGCAGTACCTTTATTTAGATGATGCTTTCTCTGAGAGCTGATCTCTCAGCAGATGGCAGCACGCTCTCCACTGATTTTGCAACTGTCCCCGTCTTTTATGTCTTCGATAATATATCAATTTCTTACAATGGGATTGGTCCTATGTTGTCAAAACCATCAGATTTAAATTTAATTGGTTTTTAGTATCTTAGTGCCCGATTTAAATTAACTGGGTAAATTAAAACTGGTTGTCTTCATAACTAAACAAAACTGCAGCTAAGCCATTGATACAAATGTTACAATTCAGGTGCTCTGTGCACGTGCAAACCCACAAGCTGCCCACAGACATTTTCTTTTTTAATCTCCAAGCCTAGAAAAACTCATCATCTTTTAAAGGGATCACACACCACATTCCCCCCTATCATTTTCTAAACATCAATATTTTACAAATCAAATTCTAATGTCCTGCCTTTCAATCCACAAGTACTCTTCCCAACTTTGCAACACTAGGCACCTGACTAACATTCCTGTCTTCCAAAGCTTGCGCCATGTCATCTTTTCACTTCATCAAAATCTGGATTTCTACCACCTTATCATTTACTTTAGCTAGTTAAAAACAAATCAGCAAAATGAAGTTTAAAAAGCAGAAATGTGAACATACTTTAAATCATAGCATGTTGGCCAAGCTGACATAGAATTCAAACCCATTTTTCTAGTGCCAATGATCATGTTTTTGCATGTACTCAGCGTACAAGTCTGCCCCACTTTGCAGTCACTACATGTTATGCTCACCTCAGTCATCAGCTTCAATCTTTCACTCCATAAATACATGTTTCACTTATTACCTTATAACTGGGTGCAAGAGATCAAACACAGACATAAGCTTTGTTAGGAAGAAGTGCATGAGTTTAAGTCAAGCCAACTTTTTGTGTTGGATGTCAATAACATTTTAAAATGCAGAACACCCACACCCCTGCCAGCGATTCATTTTATACTGGCGCATAGTCAAACAGAAGAGGAAAAAAAAACAAATTTTCATGCCAGGTTAAAAAGATTCTGGAGGCATTTTGAGGCTTCACAGGTCAACTTATATGCCAACACTGATAGTTTAATGAATGGAGAGTCAGAGATGTACAGCACGGAAACAGACCTTTCGATCCAACTCATCCACGCCAACCAATTTTTGACATTAATTTGGCCTGTAGAAAGCACATACCTGTGTTTTGAGAGTACTGACAGTCACAGTGTGGCTAGTCTTAGTTTCCAACAAATGATGCTTTGTTTCTTCCAGTTTCTGCTCCAGACAGGATTTCTGCACAACACATTAACTTGTTAGCAACATAATTATGATTTAAACTCAGCCTTAATAAAATTATATATACTACATAAAAACAGTTAAAAGATTCATGCTGAGAGAGAAAAATGCAGTAGTACTCAAATGCATAATAATTTGTTTCAAGACATAATCAAGCAACAGAATATCTCTGAAAATCATTTATTGGGTGGCATAATAAAAGTATTTTTCATTCTGTTAATAATACCTCTTCAAGCAGCTCCTGAATATGCTCATCCTCTGAAAAATTTCCCTCTAACCGTTTCTCTAGGGAAAATACTTTTGCTTGCAGATGCTCTATAAACTTTCCCTTCTCCTCTGTCACTGCAGAGGTCTATTTCAAAAGAACAACATAGATACAGTGAGAAATCAAGGCAACTTATGACAACTTACAATAATTGAAAATGCTTACTCACTAACATGCAAGAATCACAATAAGCTGCAGGATCAAGTTTAAAATCAACTATATCGAAAAGCAATAAGAATGATGAGGCTCATTTACCTTAGACAGGTAGTAGTCACCATGCAATTAACTGATGCATTACAAAGCATATCTCTTATTTCTGGAGTTCAATTTGCTCCTTCTCTCGCTTTCTTAATATATTAAATGTTTTGTTTTGTTTAAAAATTAGAGACCAGATTGACACTACTTTAACAATATGGTTTATACTAACTGCAGCACAATATTTACTTCCTGAGGAGGCCTTGTACATCATTATTTCCCTAATAGATTATAACGTGGACTTGGTTAATGGACTAAACTATGAAAATTAAGTAAAACCTGATAGTAACCACACGTTTTCTCATTATAATGACTGTTACGACCTCAGCTGATGATAATACTGGATAAGTCAGATCTCGGAGTGAAAACTGACTTGACAGATCATAAGTTTTACTTTTAAGGTTTGATTCCTGTAATGGTCAGTTACTAAGATTATTCAGACTAGGTTGCCAAAGTTCTTTTAACAAAGCAGCACAAGTTTATTACACAAAGCCAAAATATGTAGAAAGATCTCAACACCAACAGCAAATAGATTCAACCCTTTTCCCAGCAATATCCCAAATGGTCACTCAGTCCCAATGAAGTATCCTATCTTTACTCTAATTATTTTTTCAAATGACTCTTTCCAGTCCTCCTTAAGCTGTTTCAGCAGTTCATGGTTGTTCAATTCTGATGGCCAGAAGACCAGAAAATGCCCAGTTACTTCTTTCCAATTCTGACAACTTGGAGATTTCTCCTAATTCTCACAGCCTGGAGACTTCCATAAACTAAATAAAACTCCCCTTCTACTGAGATGACTTTTCTTTTGAGCTCATTCTACTAGCAGCCTCTGACCAATTATTCGAGTATCATAAAAACTCAAATTAGTAAACATTCAGCAATTAGATATCCAGGTGGATGAAGAGTGCATGTAACTTAAATCACACATTTTCTTAGAAAAACCATTTTTAGTTCACTGTTCAAAATTACTATCTGGTCTTTACAAAAAGAAAATTGTAGAACACAAAATTCACAGAACTAAAATCTAAAATCCACTTTTCCCTCACTTTCAAATCTAAATTTCCAAATAATAACATACCACGAACCTACATCACATTATCAAAGGCAAAAGTTATTTTTCATAGCATTTAAACACACTAAATTATAACTTTGCACTTTCCAAAGATCTAGCAAAGAAATAAACAGATTCTGAAATACAACTGGAAGCCAATTTCAGAATGAATTTTGTTCAGATTAAAATGGCCATATGGCTGAACAAAGAAGTGGATTACCAAAGATTATTGAACCTTTTTATATTTGAAATAAAACTCTAAACATTTGTACCTTATGTAAATCAGTTGATAGCCTTTGATTCACATCCTGTAATTCCTGTGTTCTGTATTCTAACTCCATTATTTTTCCTTCTGCACTTTTTTTGGTAGCCTCAAATCCTTCTCTGCACATTAAACAAAATTTAACAGGATTTAAAAAGAACAACATAGCAAATATTATCTGTCATTTTTTCAGACCCTTATTTTGTGACATTGTTTGGCGTCAGGGAGGAAGAACAGAAAATCTCTTAAATGTTAGGAAACCAAGGGACTGGTGAGAATGAGAAATTGAAGAAATTAGTATTATTAAAGAGGTCATCACTCAAAAAGTTAATTGGATTAAAGTTTGTTAATTCCCCTGGCCCAGATGATCCATATCCCACAATGTTGAGGCAGATGGTTGTGGAGATAGTGGGTCATGAACATCTTTCAAAATTCTACAGATTCTGGAAAGGTCCCTACACACGGGAAGGTAGCAAATATAACCAGACTGCTTGGGAAGGAAGGGAGAGAGAAAATGGAGAACAACAGATCTGTTAGTTTCATGGTCAGTGGTCAGAAAAATATTACAATCTATTAAAGAAGATGTGTTAAATTGGGTGCAAAGAACAATGGTAAAACTGGGCAGTGTCCATGTGGATTAATGAAGAGAAATCATGTTTGACAAAGCTGAAGCTTTTGAAGATGCTACCTGTAGCATAGTTAAGGAGACCCAGTGGATGTGAAGTATTTGGATTTTCAGTGCTTTTGATAAGGTGCCACACAAGTTAGTGAACAAAACTAGAGCATATGGAATTGGGGGCTATATACTAGTTTGGATTAAAAATTCGTTAACAGTTAGAAAACAGAGTAGGAATAAATGTATAATTCTTGGGACGATAGGCTGTTACTAGTTGGGTACTGCAAGGATAAATATTTGAATCACAGCATTCACAATCTAAACATATGATAAGGATGTGGGGTCAAAGTGTAATATTTCCAAATGTGCTAATGACACAAAAATAGGTAAAAATGAAATTACAATGAGGATACAAGGAAAGTTAAAGATGACTTGGACAGGTTAAGTGAATGAGCAAGAACATGGCAGATGCAATATAATATGAATAAGTGTCAAATTACCTACACGGTTAGAAAAAAAAAAATCAGAAAGACAGAATGTTTCTTAACTGGTGAGAGATTGAGAACTGTTGATGTCCAAAGGGATCCGAGTGTCCTTATTTATGAGTCACCATGGGGTGCAGCAAGCAATTAGGAAGGTGAATGATATGTTGGCCTTTATCGGAAGGGAAATTGAATATAAGAATAATGATGTTGTTAAAACTGTATACAACATTGGTGCAACTGTACCTGGAGTATCACAGAATTTTTCATCTCCTTATCTAAGGAAAGATAAACTTACCAAAGAGGATGTAACAGAGTTTCAACAGATTAATGCCTGGGATGGTTGGACAGTACTAACAGGAGACATTCAGGAAACTGAGCCTGTACTTTTCTTGGGTTTTGAACAATGAGATTAGTGGTGTGATCTCACTGACACTTCAAATTCTTACAGAACATATGTAAACAGGATGATTACTGTGGCAAGATCAAGAGACAGGGGACAGTCTCAGAATAAGGGTAGGCTATTTAAGACCAAGATGAGGAAGACTTTCTCCACTCAGTGTTGGTGAATTTCTAAAATTCTCTACCCTAAAGGACTGTGGAAGCTCATTCATTGAGCATGTTCAAGACAGACATTGGTAGATTTCTGAAGACAATAGACAGACACCAAGGGATATGTTGATGGTGTGGGAAAGTGACATTGAAGTAAATGATCAGCCATGAACAAAGTGAATGGCAGAGCAGAGTTGATGGAGTGAATGGCCTATTTCTGCTGCCATGTTGCCACAGCACAGCAATTATAAATGATCACTTCACATGCAATAGAGCAAAAAACCACAGGCATGATTATATTACAAAGTACATGTGCTTTTTAGCTGAATGTCCACATTTCCTACGCGGAACTTTGTTGGTAAAACAAGACCAAAATTTTCAAAACCTAATCCAAGCTGACAGTTCAGCGCAGCACTGAGGCGTACGACATTCAGGCATTTTTTTTTAATCTGTAATTCCTGTAGCCCCTTTGGTTCGGAGGTGGATGTGAATGATTCCATGGCACTAATCAAAGGTTAGAAATACCTGTTAATTTTAAATTAACACAAACTGTAAAGATCTGGGAAAAAATGATTCAGAACTCTGACTTTTTTCTAAGCATTTGGTACCTTTCTTTGTTAATATCTGCATTTAGTGTCTGCAGTTGCTCCAGCATTTTGTCTTGATTTAAGAGTTTCTTATTGGAGAGCTTCAGCTCTTCTTTGGTTTGATCTAGCTCTATTTTCCGCTCTTCAAGTTCCTTTTCTATATTGAGCAACAGTTCTTCTTTCCTCAAGAGCTGTCAAGCAAATAAAAGAATGATTTTTACTGATTAGTTTTAGATCTGAATTAAAATGTTTTAAAATAGTTGTCAGATTTAAGTTTAAACATGACACCTAACTGAAACGAAACAACCCAAGTAGTTTAAATGCAAATAAAACTAGGTTACAGGACAACAAGAAATTGCTTGCTGGTGGCCCATGGGTTGCAATTCGCACACCACTAATCTCATACATAAGGGTACTGAGCAATGTAACTTTATAATCAGATGCATTAAGTGGTTGAGAATTAACTTATTCCAAATTCCATTAGGGAAAATTTATAAAATCCAAAAGAACTGCGGATGCTGTAGGGGAAAACTTTTGCTCACCAGAAACTATACAACACAAGATAAAGCAATGAGACTTTCTAAATGATGGAAGATTGTGAGAACGTTCATGTTCCACTTTTTATACCATATGTTTGACTTTGGCAAGTTCCTGTTGCTGAAATCCATCCAGTTCGTCCTGTTCATCTCGTTTCTGGAACAGATTTAAACTGTGATCCTTCATTTGCTTCAGCTGATTCTCAAACATTGCCTTCTCCTACAAAAGTTAATTAAAAAAAAGAAAGGAAAGGCTATTAAAATCTATGAAGGTACTTTTAGACACAACTTCAAAATCAATGCCATTAAGTAATTCTGAAAATCATTTTACACGTAGTCTCTGTATAATACATCACGGATGCCTAGTTAAGTAAGTTTGTGTAAAGCCAGATGACCAAAGGGCTCTCTCATTAGAGGGAAACGACTATTAGTGGTTTAACCTGAGGGTTACCGTAGTTCAGACAAGGGGAGAGCTTGAGAAGGTGGAATCTTCGTGATAACTTCAGCTGGTGCAGGGAGTACCACCCTGATAGTCACATAGATAAGAATGTCAGGTTGGTAAGAATGGACTACCTTGCTGCAAACATTAATAAGGCACTATTGTAGCTACAAGGAAAGCAAGCAAACATAATGCAGTTCCTTGTAGACAAGGTGAGCAAGAAACAAGTGGAATTCTTTCGTGTTAACGTCGATGAAGGGAGAAGATATGGTTACATTGATGGAATCTAGGAGTCTTTTAACCATTGAGTGTCACTTGGAGCCGCTAGGTTTCGTCACATCAGCTGCACCTTGTCGGTATGACAAAAACAAATTAACTAACATTTAGCTAACCATTGTTTCAAGGATCTCATTGCATACAAAATAGCTGTCAGAAAATCACGAAAGAATTTAATACCATTCTGGATGGGTACTTACGCCAGATGGGGCATCTAGTCCGGATTGTACAATCAGAAAATCAAAAGTATTTCAATCCCATTTCTTAATTCTCTTTAGCCAGTGAACAGTTCATAATAATGGACAATACTTAAAAGCTATGAAAACGCAATACCTTTTCTAGAATGGAAACTTTCAGCATCCAGTCCTGAAAATAAAAATGGCAATTATTTTTCTTTCTAAACTATAATTGCAGAAACATTTTTGGAAAAAATGCAGTTTTAAATCAATGCATAAAATTAATACATTTATGGAATCTATAAAGTGCATCTTTTGATTAATTAATTTAGAGTCATAGAATTGTACAGCACAGAGACAGACCCTTCAATCAAACTCGCCCATGCCAACCAGATATCCTAAATCAGTATAGTGCCATTTGCAAGATTTGGCCCATATCCCTCCAAACCCTTCCTATTCATGTACCCATCAAGATACATTTTATATGTTCTAACTGTACCAGCCTTCACCACATCCTCTGGTAACTCGCTCCATACACGTACCACCCTCTGCATGAAGAAATTGCCCCTTAGGTCCCTCTTATATCTTTCCATTCTCACTGTAAACCTCTAGTTTTGGACTCCCCTACCTTGGGGAAAAAGACCTTCACTATTCATCCTATCGTCCTCTTAATTTTATAAACCTCCATTAAGGTCATCCCTCAACCTCTGACACTCCAGAGAAAATAGCCCCAGCCTATTCAGCCTCTCTCTACAGCTCAAACCCTCCAACGCCAGCAACATTCTTGTAAATCTTTTCTGCACCCTTTCAAGTTTAACAATATCTTTCCTACTGCAGGGAGACCAGAACTGAATGCAGTATTCCAAAAATGGTGTAACCAATGTCCTCTGCAGCCCCAACATGACATCCCAACTCCGAGACTCATTGAACTGACCAATAAAGGCAAATGTACCAAATGCCTTCTTCACCACCCTGTCTACCTGTGACTCCATCTTCCAAACAACCCTTTATCTGTGAATCTGACATACATTAAGTTCTCAGACAGGGATGGTGGTACAGTACATTGGTGTTCTGAAACTATTAACTGCTAGGGTCTATATGTTGTCAATCTAAACAGCTACTAGCAAAAGGAAGGAGCTTTTTCATGGGGGTAGAGGAAAACAAGACAAGTTTAGAATGCATGTTAAACTGTGCTTTTCCTCTTTCTTACTGCAAAGCTCAGAGCAGTGGACTGCAGTTTGGCTGCAGAATGAGGAGTTGCTCTGAGAAGGGATTATAAATGATGCATTTAAAAAATATTTTGCAGCTCTTTAGGAATTTTATCTGCAAGGAGTTCTACAATGATGCTGAAAGCCACAGTAATCAATGATCATACATCTGGCTACTTCAATCCAAAAACGTTCAATCTAGTATAGCATTATGTTATAAAACAAAGAAATGTGGATGGTGGAGATCTGACACAAAAACAGGAAGTGCTGGAGAAACTCAGCAGGTCTGGCAGCATATGTGGAGAGAAAAACAGAGCTAATATCTTCAGTCCGGTGAACCTGCATCAGAACTATCGTAGTATAACGTAAACTTCATTTTGCAACTTGATTCAGGTTACCTGATCCCTCTTTTCTAAGGCTTGTGCCATTCCTTCTGCCATTTTTGCTCTGTTGGCTTGATATGCCTCATTCTGTTCCTGAAGTTTCCTCATTGAGGCTGATTAAAATTTGGAATAAAAATATTAGATATTATTACTTTATGGTAAACGAAATTTCATTAAGCATCTAATTGTCTTGTCCTGTTATTTGAACTTTTAAAAACCGACACTTAGTATTATTTTCAGCCCCAAAATTAATAATGTTGGTTCTTTTAAAAAAAGACTTTTGCAAATGTTCTTCCATAAATTTTAACAATAGAATCATATTGTTATCTATGTTTGCTACTGATGTCTTCAAAGACAAAGTAATCCAGAAAGGCTTCTGACTTTATTTATACTTTATTATAAATGGATTACCATCCCAAAAAACTCCATGAATTCAATCTCTCAATAAGAAACAATAAAAAAGTTAAAATACGTACAATCCTGATGTTTTTCTAATGCAATCTCAAGCTTCTCTTTTGTCTTCTGCAAATTTCGCAGCTGCTCAGCATAATCTTGTATTAGGGGAGGGGGACGCAGGTCAGGAGTTCAAAACAGGCAAAAAGAAAACAAAACACAGGAATAATCATGAGTGACGGAAGTAAATGATTTTCCCCAACAGAAAATCATTACTGTTAAGGAGAACATATGTGTTGATGACATTCCCTTAACATGTTAATGGCAAAAAGAAAGATCTACTTTACGATTAAGAAATTAAGCATAATATGGAAAGTAATGTTGAATACATGCTGGAGCCTGTAGAGATTAAACACTGAACTGAACTAAAGTATTTTTCTGAACTACTGGAAGAACCACTAATTGTAATTCACATGTAACAGTTTCAATCTTTTCCATCAATTGTCATATGAACTCGTAAATTAGGCTTTAGAAAACAATTTTAAATTTGTTGTTCACTCACCATGTCCCACAAGCGATTTCTCAAAGCCTTGAATAGCTTAAAAACCAATAAACAATATCTAACCAACCACATCACTGAATCTATTAGAGAAACGTTGAATGAAACCATATTTGTAAGAAAGGTATCTTTGTAAAGCTAAAAATGTGAAACCAAACTCACATTTTAAATTAAGTCAGATAGATTAAACATTAGCCTTAATACAATTTCAAATCGAACTACTGTATTCCGTGCACTCTACACTACAAAAACAAGTATTTATTTAAGTATTACAGTGGGTTCAAATGCATTGAACTGAATTCTATCAATTTATCCAACTCATTAAGATTTTTCATGCAATTCAGTAACTATGCAGGCCACACACTAATCTTTCAGAAATTCTGGGTCATTGGATAAACATATGGATGATAATGGAATAGTTTAGGTTAGATGGGCTTCAGATTGGTTTCACAGGTCGGCGCAACATCAAGGGCCGAAGGGCCTGTACTGCGCTGTAATGTTCTATGTTCTAAACATTGCCATTCGGAGCTTTCTGATACACGTAGAGGTGAGGTGAGGTGAAGAGGTGACCTGAGAGTTTGAAAGACTAATCGGGGTTACAAAATAAATAATGATAGATTGTTTGTACTGGTTGTTGAGATGGTAACAATGTAACAAAATTTTAAGATAACAACAGAATGGATACAAGGGGATGTTGCCAAAATATTCTACACACAGGCTTGTATCCTAATAGAAGGTTTATAAGAGCATCATCTTTTAGGACTGTAGCTTTAAATTTAGAGTAACTGAAGGTGGTCATGTGAACTATTCTGAAGTTCACTTACCTATAGGCTGTATGATTTCAATGCTGGAGATGAGAAAAAGATTTTAGATTGTTTTACTAAAAGGGTGGTGCAAAGTATTTATGCTTTGAGACAATGGCAGCATTCCAAGTATAACATGAGTAGGTCTGAAGTCTCCTAAGATGGTGTTGAAGTTGCAGGAGCGTAAACACGTATGTTGTAAATTATCGATGTATGTCTAAGATTAAGAGAATTTGAGATCAAGGAATGGTAATTAACATTTCTACTTACAAGATTAATGCATTTCACGTTTCCATGGCCAAAGAGCAGAGGAAGTCATTTTGAGAACAAGTTGCTGGTTTCCCTACAAGTCTGGAATATCATAGGCTGACATGTGTTCTGCATGGTCAGATGGAAAAGGTTGCTTAACTTTACAAGCTATTACAGCTGATGCAGATGGGAAATGTTCTCTAATCCAATAGATAAATCCCGCAGTCCTCTAAAGATTCCTGGAAATTTGTTCTGGCATGGCCAGGAGGATGAATAACAATCAGAACAGGCTTTACTGGTATAGTTAAATGAAAGAAACTTTCCAATAATTGAGGAAAGTGCTCAGAGACTAGATTATGATTTGGTAATATGGGGATACTTGAACCCATAAGAAACGAGGAGCAACTGTTGTCTTTGCTGCGAGGGCTGTAATTCTCTGGAGAAGCGATAAACACAAAATAGTGAAATGTTCCTCTCTGCTGTTTAAAAGTACAAGTTATCCAGAAAAAGAAAATAACTGTCAATTCTTTGTCATTTGTCACAGTAAAAGTAGGAGTTACCAAATATTACAGCCGAGAAACAGGATGTTTATCCAATAAATTTTGCCCATAGTTTTCTCCATGTGAACTGTCAAGCTAATCTAATTTCCTCACTGCCCATCTCTTAATATTTCTTTCATTCATATACCTATAAATTGCTTTTAAAAAGAATTTATGCACTCTGATTCAACAATGGTTTTTAGCAGAGAATTCCACGTTTTAATAATTGTGTCTACAGTGGCTTTTCTAATCTTGCCTCTATCTCGGATTATTTTAGAATTCCTGCTTATTGTCATCTTGACAGTCAAAGGAAAACAACCTAATGTTTCATGCCTCTTGATATTACATCAATTTTTTTCTTTCATAATTTTATTCAAGTCATCATTTAATCTTCCTCGTGTTTCTTTCACTGCACCCCTCCATCTTATTTTGATTGCCCTGTTTTTTTAATGTTCCTATATTTGAGCACTTTCCTATTAAAATAAAACTACTGACTGGGTTTGATTAAATATTATATTCTGATTGTAGGCAACTTTAAATCACAGAGTGGAACATTTTCCTTTTAGTTTATCACAACCTCCACAGAGTTACAGCCCTTATAGCAAAATTCAACAGTTACTCCACTTTTCAATGAGCCCCCCAATCCCTATTTCGCTCAGCAGTAAATTATAGTCTCCCTTTACTTTTCTCACCCGAAGCAGAGTTTCTTAAATCAGTCACCAGCAACAAACTTGTTCTGATCATTTTTCTGCCCCCAGTGGTGCCATAAATCAAATCTCCTGAATCCTTAAAAAACTGCAGGATGCATCTCTCCAACTAGAGACTGCCTCTGTCCTTTTCTTTTGCTGACCACATAGAACTCTTGTCTCTGCCATAGTCAGGACAGGGAGATTATGATTAAAAAGCAATGAGTATCTTACCCCCTTGAATGCAAATTGTGACATCATTTTTATAAAACTGGGGTCATGGCTGTGAAGAACTGAAATACTATTGTAACCCATTATGCATATCAAGAAAGTAAAAACCACAAATGCAGCAATCCATTCCGCAGCAAAGCTTCCAAGTATAACTGGTAATCATCAAGCAGAGGCAATCTGCTTGGCTTCGCCATGTTTCCAGGGCAGAAGACGGTTGCATACTGAAGGACATTTCCTGTCCAGTGAAGCACCAGTGGGTCACACAAAACAACTGGTCATGTTTGCAAGCAGCTTTGAAGTAAAGGCCTTAGGAGACACAAGTTGATGAATGGGAAAATGCCAACACCACACATGGTCCACCAGGCACTACCATAATGATTAGTGGCTACTGCAACTTGACAACAGACATAAACACTGAAAATAACAAAACACAAGGACACCTGATAACAAATTCATGCGTGTCAGCTGTTCCTATCTTAACCCGTATTCTGAGTGGTTTGAACTAGTCAGGTGCCATCACTCGACTGCACTCTCTGTAATTCTTTTTGTCTTTTTATATGCCCTGTATCATAGCAACAAGCATAGAGATTTACCACATAACCCAGAGCAATTGCCTGTTAGGTGGTTTCCACTTTTTGTTAAGCTCTAAATGTTTTCTGCAGACTCCAAGGAGCTATCACAATTGCAGTCAAGTAAAGAGTTTCCTTTTACAAATACCGTTATTAAACTTCTACGTTAACTGGGGACAATAACGAACAGGGATGACTTTGGTTGTGAAAATGAAAATGTTTGACAAATTTGCTAATTTTTTTAAGGATATAAGTGAGCAGAGTTGATAACGAGGAACCAGCAGATGATGTGTATTGGATTTCCAGCAGACATTTGATAAGGTGACGCATAAAAAGTTATTGTACAAGCTAGGAACTCACAATATTGGGGGTAATGTGTTAGCAATGGATCGAGGATTGGTGAACACACAAAATTCAGAGTCAAGACTAATGGGTCTTTTTTGGGTTTGAAAGATGTACTTATAAAAGTGCCACAAGCGTTAGTACCAGGGCCCCAATTAATTACTATCTACATCAGTGCCTTAGAGGAGGGAATTTTGGAGGAATTTGATGATACAAAAGCCAGTGGGAAAGCATGCTGTGAAGAGGATGTGAGGCATCGCAAAGGGGATACAGGTAGGTTAGTGCGTGGGCGAAAACTTAGCAGATGACGTACAATGCAGGAAAGTGCGAGGTTATGGCTTCAAATAAGTGCAGCACAGAGAGATCTGGATGTTCTTGTGCATGAAACCTGCAGGTGCAACAAATAATTTAATCAAATAGAATTGTGGCCTTTATTGCTAGGGGGCTGGAGTTTAAAAATAGTTAAGTCTTGTTACAACCATACAGGGTTTGGTGAGGCCAACAACTGTGTTCAGTTTTGGTGTCCATGTTTAAGAAAGGAATGTGCTAGCAGTTCAAAAGAAACTGACTAGGCTGATTCCTGGGATGAAGAAGTTGACATATCGAAAATGACTACTCAGGTTAGGCCTTTATTCGTTACATTTGAGAAAACATACATGATTCTGAGAGGATCTAACAGGCTGGATATTGAAAGATGTTTTAAATATTGAGGAACCCTCAAAGTAGGGGACATAGATCCAGAATAGGGGACATTTATTTAAAACTGAGATATGGAGGAATTTCTTCTCCAAGAGGATAGTGAATATCTGGAATTCTATATCCCAGAGAGTTGTGGAGAATGGAACACACAGTATTTAAAAGAGGAGGGAGATAATTTTTTTTGAAATAGCATAGCGAGAGCTGAGGAGTTGGTTTGAAAGACAAGTTAGGGCCTGGGACAGATCAGTCATGATCTCGCACAACAGCAGGGCAGACCTGAGGGTCTGAATGGCCTACTTCTGACCTTATTCCTTATATTGACAATATTTCCCTGCCCACTTCACACTACCCCATGAGGGAAGCCTGTCTTTTGCCATGCAGTCTGATGTCACCTTTTTCCATCCAGCAACTTGACAGTGTGTTTTCCTAGCATGCCACACTAGCACGCCGCACTAGCACTGCACTAAACATTACTGTCCCAAGCATTGTGTACCCCAGTATTTCTTTAAATGTAACAAACAAAGAAAAGTGAAGCTCAATGGTTAAACTATTATTGCAGCAATCTCGTTGTGGCAAGACAATGTCACCAAGGTGTTACAGATCACTTTATCTTTGTTTCAATAAACAAAAATCTACCAGTTGCTTCAGTGCCATAGCAGCTTGGGAGGTGTTAGGCCCAAGGGAAAAGTACTCTCAATTCTTTATGCAGGCATGATTTAGAAGGCTGGAACTCAAATAGAGGGAGTTTAATAAAAGTATAAAGCAGAAACCAATGTGGTCTTTCAAACTTCTTTGAATCTGCATTTAGATTACAAATGCAAAATGGCAAGTTGGAGGCGGTACACACATTAAATTGTAGCATCCAACTTCCAAGAAATTAGAATGAAGAAGCCAGTAATGAAGAAAACATGTCAAACCAAATGGAAAAAAACTCAAAATACGTGCTGAAACCTCATCCCTGTATTCCCTCATGACAATCCAAACCTTACCAAGACATCTATACTCCAAAGTAAAGTAGCAAATAAACAATCATTTGAAAAGTTAATTTTATTACAGACACTTCACAAGACAAAGTACTTTGATCATTATTATGAGGCATATCACATGTCAGTTTTTTCTTATATACAAAAAGATAATAGATAATATTCTAAGTATTTTCTCTCCTTCAATATATTGACAAGTTAACCTTGAATATATTAATTCAAGACGAGCACTGCACACATCCATCAGATGAATTAACAGTTCCTAGTTTTCTCAGCGCATATTAATTGACATCAGAGCAACGCAAAACACAATCCCCTCTTGAAAGAGTATATTAACATTAAAAATGGATTGAACTGGATTGTATTAATAATGCAATATCTAAAGCTAAAGTTTCCAGACTGTTTGCCAATTTTATATTTATCCTTCATTGGTTTGTCAACAGTGTCCTTGACTTCAAGCAATGCTCACTTAACAGAAAAGTCCAATAAATTTATCATATGCATTCAAATATAAAAATAGAAATCAGTAAACACTCGTATGCAAGTTTCAATTAATTACTAAAAAGGCTAATGGATCTTTAGTTCAAAAGGGCTGGAATACCAAGGGTGAAAGCAAAATTACATTTGAAAAGTCCGATGAGATCCAATCTGGAGCACTATATTCAATTCTAGACAGTGCTTTAGAATTAGAGCTGGAGTAACATCAGAAAGCACCTCTTCACACAAAGACTACTAGAAATCTAGAACTTGCTCTCTGAAAAAGCTGTCGAGGCTATGTCAATACTTAAGATTTATATTTTATTAGGCAATGGTGTCACTGAGCCAAGGAGGCTAGAACAAATTAAAATTTTCATCAACAATAATCCAAACTAGTTGAACAGACTGACTGATCTATTTCTGTTTCGACATTGTTACTGCTCCACGTGAAACCCTGGGAAGAAGGTACATGTTAAAGTTTTTGTTAACTCCTTACTTTTCACTATCAGCATAGGTTCCAACCTCTCTCAAATTTAACCTTTTGCTCTACACTCAATTAGTCATTGCTACAATGAGTTGTAAACAGTTTCTTAGTTATTTTCAATCACAGAAAGACACATATCCAAATACAAGGACAATTAAATACAATTCAGAGGGAGAATATTTAGCAATTTACCCATATTTTGCTAACTGAAACTCAGCTTTTCTAGTGCTCTCTTGGCTAGTCTCCCATCTTGTACTCAAACTTCAACTCTTTCAAGACTCTGCTGCTTATATCCAAACCTTGACCAAGCCCCATTCACATCCCACCTTCGTTTCTTGACTCCTGACCTGGCACAGCCTAAAACTTAAAATTCTCATTTTTGTTTTCAAATTCTTCCAGCTCTAAACACCAACAACTTTGCACTCCTCAAATTCTGACCACTTGTGTATTCCCAATTCCCATCAACCCCCAATGGCAATCATGCTTTCAGTAGTTTGCATTTCTGGTTATGAAATTCCCTAACTAAACCCCGGTCTTTTCTTAATTTAAGGCGGTCCCTAAAATCCTTCAAAGGCTCATGTCATCTATTCTAATACCTCTGTGTGAATTGGGGTGAAATTTTCTTTTTGTAATTACTCCTGTTGTTTCCTAGGTCATTTTACATGTTAAAAGATATTCATAGATGTTTATAATGTAGGAGTCACATCAAATGATTTCAAGTTACTGGCTAACTGTCTTAACATGACTTGCAAATGTAAATTTCCTAAGATCTCCCAAAACAGCTGTCATATTAACATACTTTATGAGGGATAATTGTCAAAATGATCATCCTTTATCCATTACTATAAAAATTATTTTTTTTACATCATTGTACGAGGATCTCAATAATTACGTCACTGCTTTGTTGTGAATTATTTATTAGGCTTCCTTTCTTTCTCATAAACAGCAATGCAAGCTAATTACAATTTCCACTAATTTTCCTCTAATAAGTATTTTCGTCTGCATAGCTGACGATGATTTAACTCCAGCCATCAGAAGGGCTGTTAAGTCAAATGCATTCACATTTTGCATTCAAGTGCACAATGTTTGCTGCCAGGTTCCATTCTGAAATGCCATTTTTAGGACAGCCAAAAATCATACTTGTAGAAAATACTAAGACTTTGAGCCCCATTGCACTACACAGATCTAACATGTACTAGAATTTGATAGCACGGTGTATTCAGAGAGTCATACAACATGGAAACAGACTCTTTGGTCCAACCAATCATGCCAAACATAATCCCAAACTAAACTAGTCGCACCTGCCTGCTCCTGGCCCATATCCCTCCAAACCTTTCCTATTCATATACTTATCCAAATGTTTTTTAAATATTGTAATTGTACCCACATCCACCACTTCCTCAGGTGGCTCATTCCACACACGAACCACCCTCTGTGTAAAAAATTTGCCCCCATGTGTTTTTTAAATCTCTCTCCTCTCACCTTAAAAATATGCCCCCTTGTCTTGAAATCCCCCATCCTAGGCAAAAGACAACTACTATTAACTCCATCTATACCTCTCTTTCTTTACAAACTTCTATCAGGTCACCTCTTGACCACCTATGCTTCAATGAAAAAATGTTCCACATTATCCAGCCTTCCATTACAACTCAAACTTTGCATACCCAGCAACATCCGTGCAAATCTCTTCTGAACCCTCTCAAGCTTAATAATATCCTTCCTATAACTGGGCAACCAGACCAGTTTCCAGAAGAGGCCTCACCAATGTCTTCTACAACCTCAACATGACTTCTATACTCAAAAGACTGAGCAATGAAGGCAAACTTGCCAAATGCCTTTTTAACCACCCTGTCTATATGTGATGCAAACTTCAAAGAATTATGTGCCTGTACCCCGAGGTCCTTCTGTTCCACAACACTACCCAAGGCCCTAGAGTGCACACAGTCACGACAACATTCAAGGGCTGGATTATATACTATTGGCAGACTCCCCACACCCAGTGTAAATGTCAGGGGCAAACTTAACTCCAATTAGCAAGCTCATCCTGCTTTAATTTTTCTGGTAATAAACCTCTTAATTAGTATGAGGCAGGACTTCTATCCATCTCCAGGAGGCCCACCTCGTGGAGATGCCAGCCAATTGGAGGCTGGCAGTGCCAGAAGGTGTTCTGCAGGTGGACCTGGACATTCAAGTAAATCTAGGATCCTGCTGGAGCCAAGCTGACAGAGCCACATGAGGGAGAGGGGCATACTGGCCATAGTAGGCAGTGGTGTGTAAGATGTTCAGGAGAGACAAAACTTTTGCAAAGAGGTTCCAATTGGCAAGAGGCATCCCCCAACTCCCTGCATATCCCCTCTAATTATGCCAGGAGCCATCTGGATTAAAACTGCTGAGCTACACACAGAGCACTGGCCTCTCTTGTTGCCCAAGCGGAGGCACAATGAGCTTAATTGGACATTATTTGCTCACTCAATGGTCTCAATTTTGCCATGGCCAGGTGACCCACATAACACCTCCACAGCATTCTAATTTGTGTCCACCCACTTGCCTTCTCAGCAACAGATGGCTTGTCAAATTCAACTCAAGTCATTTGTGATGTTAACCTGAACTAAGTTGACTCTCTAATGTAAACAAAACATATTAAAGATGGATATACACTAAATCAAGCTTTTGACCATTGCTTGAATATGAATATTTAAAAGATAAAACATTATTTTGGAATTTTCTATACAGATATATTTTATACATCTCTTTTTCGCAAATTACCACAACACTTTAAGCTGAAATAGATGATCACAAAATAAAATGTAAATGCTGATTGCAACATGCAAACTGAGAAACTTGTTTCTCAAAGCAGGTACCTGACAGTTTTACTTCCAACTTCCGAACTTGGTCATTTCGCCGTAGCAGCTGAGACAACAGATCCTCTCGAGAACAGCTACTGTCAGAAGCCTTGGAAAAAGAGTGAAAAAGACTTTTTTTTTAAAAAACGTAAATGACTACAGCTTATAATGGTTTATTTTTCTAATGCTAAGCATTTCAGATAGCCTTAATTTACTTTAACGAAATCAGAACCTTGTTCATTCCCCATGCAGTGATCTAAAATCCAAAACACTTGAGTCTCTATCACACTTTTAAAAATACAATGGCTATAGTATACAACAGCGTTACATCATATCAATTTACCAAACGTCAACATTACTTACTTGGACTTTGGTATGCCAACCACACCAGCAATTATGGTCCCACCACTGAAGATATCAGCAACTGAATTCAGGACTTTTCCTGAATCACCTCACTGACTAATTTAGCATCATTACAGATGTTTTGTATTGCTAATTTAAAACGATTACAATTAGGGAGTAAAGTCTAGAGTCAAAACCCTGAGTAAATGTTTTCTACCTGAACTATCAATAAAGCTCAACAAATAAAAGTACAATCCACAATTTTCATAGCTAAAACAGACAGTTGTCTTAGGGATCACTGACATTTCCAAAAGTACTGGCTGACTTGTTTCATAGCTGGACCAACAGACATAGAGAAAAGGAAAAGTACAATCAAATTAAATGGTACACTTGCAAACAATGGTGGGATATAATATACCTCACATTTGAAGCTGCACTACAAGTATTATCCAATATGCTCACAATTTAGCACATGACGGGGAAGCCACAGGAAGGTGGGTGAATTGATGTTTTTCGTTTTTGAGCTACACACAGTATTGTCTTGAATTAAAGTTTCAGCTGCTGGTATGAGAAAGTGTCACTTGCTAAATCATTACATGTCATCTAACCATAATTCAGCAAGAAAGAATCAACCACACTTCTGTCAGACAGGAGTAACATATCGAATAGATAGAGACCTGGAAACTGAACTGAAGAAAAATAATACTACCTTTGCTTGTCCTATACTCTCTGGGTGCCTCTAAATGATAGTACATTAGACCAGTAGGATCACTGTGAAACGCTACAAAAGTAGGGCCAGACTTCAAAGGACAATAGTCCAAAAAGCTCTTGAAATTTTCTTGGGTAACTCTGTGTTTACTGGATGATATCTGAAGAACTTGCTTTCATTGCCTATGTATTATTCCCGCCTATGTAAATCCAAACTTAGAAATTGATTAATTGATGCAAAATAAATGACCACAAAGCATATTAAGAATTACACAATATCCTTCAACAACAACGAGAGCCAAACCACAAACAATAAATCCATGGGACCTGATCAGGTACACCCAGAACTCTGTGGGAAGCTAGGGAAGTGATTGCTAGGCTCCTTGTCTCGATATTTGTATCATCGATAGCCACAGGTGAGGTGCTGGAAAACTGGAGATTAGCTAACATGGTGCCACTATTTAAGATAGGTGGTAAAGAAAACCAGGGAACTATACACCGATGAGCCTGACATTGGTGGCGGGAAGTTGTTGGAGGGAATGCCGAGGGACAGGATTTACATGTATTTGGAAATGCAAGAACTGATCAGTGATAGTCAACATGGCTTTGTGTGTAGGAAATCGTGTGTCACGAGCTTGATTGAGTTTTTGAGGAACTAATGAAGAGGACTGATGAAGGCAGAGCAGTAGACGAGATTTATATGGACTCCAGTACTGATTCTGAGGGGCTGGTGTTTGACTGGGGTGGACGAAGTCAGAAGTCACATGACACCAGGTTATAGTCCAACAGGTTTATTTGAAATCACCAGCTTTCAAAGAGCAGCCCCTTCGACAGATGCAGGGAGCGAGAAGAGCACAAAGACACAGGGAAATCAATCAATAACTTGTCTGATCACATCCTTCAACCAGTTCTCAGCCGAGGGCTCAATTTCTGCCCCACTACCAAAATGGACCCCATTGGTCTTGCGGCAGGCACAGAGGAATTCATCAGGCGATTGAGGCTCCAGGAATTCTTCCACAAACCCCAAGATGTCAGCAGCGAACCCAATGAGACAACCAATGAACTGGAACAATTGACAGAGAGATCTGTGGTGCAGTGACTAAAGAGGGAATAGAATTGGAGCCCTCCAGAGGGCCGCTGCCCTAAGGTCAACATGTATGCTCAAGCAGTCAGATGATAGGTTAATGCCAGGTTCATCAGCCATGCTCACAAGATAGCACGGAACGTCAAAGACAACGCAATGCCATCCATGTTCTCAAGACCAATCACAACATTTTCATCAAACGAGCAGACAAAGGAGGTATCATCGTCATACAGAATAGAACGGACTACTGCAAAGTATACTGACAACCGAACAACCAGGAACACTACAGACAACTACCTGCCGATCTAACCAAAGAACACAACTGTCAATTCAACAGACTGATCAAGACTTTTGATCCAGACCTTCAGAGTATCCTGTGCACATCTCACGTATTTCTCACAAAGGAGACTTCTACTGCCTTCCAAAGATACACAAAGCCAGCACACCTGGACATCCCATTGTATCATGCAATGGGACCCTGTGTAAGTACCTCTCTGGCTATGTCAAGGGCATCTTGAAACCTACTATACAAGGAACTCCCAGCTTTTGTCACACCACTACAGATTTCTCACAGACCACTCAAACCAGGAACATTCCTCATCACAATGGACATTTCGGCACTCAACACAAGCATCGCCCACAATGACGGCATCGCTGCAACAATCTCCGTACTCAATATTAACAGCTGCCAATTTCCAGACACCATCCTACAACTCATCTGCTTCATCTTCGATCACAACGTCTTCACTTCGACAACTAGTTCTTCATCCAGACACACAGATCAGCTATGGGGACCAAATCTGCAACCCAATATGCCAACATCTTCATGCCCAAGTTCAAGCAAGACTTCTTCGCTGCACAGGACTTCCAACTACATAGCAATATCAACAAGTTTCATCCCACCATCAGGCTTACCATGGACTATTCTTCAGAATCACTCTCATTCTTGGACACACGCATCTCCATCAGGGACGGACACCTCAGTACCTAACTCCACCGCAAGCCCACGGATAACCTGACAATGCTGCACTTCTCTAGTTTCCACCCTAAACATGTTAAAGAAGCCACCCCCTATGACAAACCCTGCACATACACAAGATCTGCTCAGACGATGAGGAACATGACGGACACCTAAAGGTTTTGAAGCAGGCCTCGTAAGAACGCTATAAGATTCTCAACTCATCAACTGCCAGTTCCAACGTTCCACTGCGAGAAACCGCAACAACCTCCTCAGAAGACAGACACAGGATACGACCGATACAGTACCCTTCGTCGTCCAGTACTTCCCCCAGAGTGGAGAAACTACACCATATTCTTCGTAAGCTTCAACATGTCTTGGATGACGATGATCCAACTCACCAAGATCCTCCCCACGCCTCCATTTATCTCCTTCAAACAACTGCCAAACCTTAAACAGACCATTGTTCACAGCAAACTCCCCAGACAACATTGACCACAACATCATGGCAGCCTCTGCAAGACATGTCAGATCATCAGCATGGATACTACCATCACATGTGGGAACACCACCCACCAGATACTCATGTGACTTGGCTGATGTTGTCTATCTCATACACTGCAGGCAAGATGCCCCGAGGCATGGTATATTGGCAAGATAATGCAGACACTATGCCAACGACTGAATGGACACCATGCAATAATCACAGGCAGGAATGTCCCCTCGCAGTCGGGGAACACTTCAGTGCTTAGGGGCATTCAGCCTTTGACCTCCAGGCAAGCAACCTCCAAGGCAGACTTCGAGATACACAATGACACAGAATTGCTGAGCAGAGACTGATAGCCAAGTTCTGTACCCATGAAGATGGCCTCAACGGTGATTTCTGAGTTCATGTCACACTACATGATCCCACCACACTGTATCTGTAAAATCTTCCTTACTGTTCCGTTTTGACACCATCACCTTGATAACTTGTTATGATCTCTCTACCTTAATTAGTTTGTACAGTTTTGAATTATTTATTACTTTGGTTAGACCCGCAGCATGCTACTCTTATACCTGTTATGTTATTCCAGGTATTTAGTTTGTCTCCAGCACCACCTTATTTTTAATTTTTGTAATTATCTCTCTGCCTCATTTAATCGGATTATAGGTCATCTCTTCACTGGTTATTCAGCTGTTGACACTTTACTCACTATCTAACACTCTTGGTCACCTGCAGAGACTTATTATCTGACACTCCACTCACACCAGTTGTACGATCTTTTGATCTCTTAGCCTATAAATTCTGTGTCTGTGTGCTCTGCTGTCTCGTTGTACCTGATGAAGGGGCTGCGCTCCGAAAGCTTGTAATTTCAAGTAAACCTGTTGGACTATAACCTGGTGTTGTGAGACTTCAGACTTCAGTAAAGCATTCGACAAGGTTCCTCATAGTAGACTGGTTCATAAGGTTAGATCACATGGAATATAGGGAGAACTAGCCACTTTGATACAGAACTGACTCGAAGGTAGAAGACAGAGGGTGGTGCTGGAGATTGCTTTTCAGATTGGAGGCCTGTGATCAGCAGTGTGCCACAAGATTTGGTGCTGGTTCCACTGCTTTTTGTCATTTATATAAATAATTTGGATGTGAACATAGGAGAGTGGTTAGTAAGTTTGCAGGTGACACCAAAATTGGAGGTGTAGTAGACAGTGAAGAAGGATACTTCAGAGTACAACAAGATCTTGATCAGATGGGCCAGTGGGCCAAGGAGTGGCAGATGGAGTTTAATTTAGATAAATGCGAGGTGCTGCATTTTGAAAAGGCAAATCAGGGCAAGATCTATACACTTAATGGTAAGGTTCCGGGGAGTGCAGCTGAACAAAGAGACCTTGGAGTGCAGGTTCATACATTATTCCTTGAAAGTGAAGTTCCAGGTAGTAGGACAGTGAAGAAGGCATTTGGTTTGCTTGCCTTTATTAGTCAGTGCATTGAGTATAGGAGTTGGGAGGTCTTGCTGTGGCTGTAGAGGGCATTGGTTAAGCCACTATTGGAATACTGCATGGTCTCCCTGCTATAGGAAGGATGTTGTGAAACGTGAAATGGTTCAAAACAGATTTACAAGGATGTTGCCAGGATTGGAGGGTTTTGAGCCAAAGGGAAAGACTGAATAGGCTGATATTATTTCCCCTGCTGCGGAGGGTGAAGGGTGACCTTTTAGAGGTTTATAAAATCATGAGGCACATGGATAGGGTGAATAGACAAGGTCTTTTCCCCAGGGTCGGGGGAGAACAAAACTAGTAGCCATAGGTTTAAAGTGAGAGGGGAAAGATTTAGAAGTGACCTAAGGGGTGACGTTTTTACGCAGAGAGTGTTGCATGTATGGAATGAGCTGCCAGAGGAAGTGGCGGAGGCTGGTATAATTACAATAATTTAAAAGACATCTGGATGCATATATGAATTAGGGGGATATGGGACAATTGCTGGCAAATGGGACTAGATTTATTACGGATATCTGGTCGGCGTGGACGAGTTGGGCTGAGTGTACAGCTCTATGACTCTAACTGTAACTGTTGATTCAACCTGATGAAATCACAATCTATCCACAAAGCCCCTTCAAAGATCTCAATTTTAGACACATAAAATATATTGAATTATAGAAATCACCATACATACAATATCTTCTCCAGAGTCAGCTCCTATTGAAGTAATGGAGTCTCTGCTGACCGATCTTGGAATCCGTCCCGTACCAGGACGTGAGGTGTTGCCTGCCTCTTCAGCAATCTTCTTTTTCAGTTTTGCAAACATGGTTCTTCAGCTATATTTTTCAGAGGTGTTCCAAACCACCAAACCGGTTAAGTTTATCTAAAGTCTCAAAGATGAGTTTGGAAGAAAGAGAGCGGATGTGCTTTAGAAAACAATGTACTCCGTTTGGCTCCTAGCTGCTCCTTAACAAGGCTCAGTTTTCATGTCTACTGCAAAAACCATCCATTATATCACCTGTCAGCAAAACAAAGTTCATTAGATCAAGAAAATAACATTTCTACTGGTTCTCAACTGCAATCATAATATGACAGAAATGATGTTGAAAAAAATACTTCGTTTCATTATTCTATACAGCTTGGGTTTCATAACTGTAAAGTCCACTGCAATTCTCCTGTAAACCCACATTTCTTTGCTTCCTACCCCAAATTCTACATTAGAAGACCTGGAAGCCGACATGCAAATATGTAACCACTAAGAAAGGGAAATGGGAAGAAAATTAAGTAAACATTTCAAAATTGTTCCATCCGACCCAAGTTCAAGCACAAAAGCGGGCATCGGGTGTTTGCACGTGAGCTCAGTGCCAATACTATGAGAAAAGAGTATTTTGCGTTGCATTTACATTGGACCAAAACTGCAGAAAAGATTAATTTAAGTTTAATGACATGATACCAGTTTTTGTGCTACTTCTTTGATGCCAGGATTGTCACATTCTATTTCCCCAAGGACTGTTGGTAAATCCCATTCTCCAAGAATTCTGACAACACCATGTTTTGCCTGTGAACAAGACTATTCAATGTGCTCTTTCATTTGCCTTCCCTCAAGAGTACAGCATTTTGTTTCTGCTACTTTTGTCATAAGTTATGTCACCTAATCTTTGGGATTCAAAACTACTTCTAACCAACTAATCTCAGTATTATTCAAGATTTCTTTACTGAAAGAAAATATGACTCAAGAGGAATCAAACAAATGGACTGGAGCCAGTTTAGGTGAGTAAATTCCAAATGGATTAGTCAGACTTTATAAATTTCTCATGATTCAGGAACAGTGTCCTTGGGTGATCCATTATTTAAGGCATAGGAGGGAAAACCTAGGTAGCAACAGACCTGTTAGTTTATCATTTATGGGAAATTTACTGGGATAAATCATGAAACAGAAAGAATGAATCTTTGAAACAAAACAGAAATTGCTGGAAAAGCTCGGCGGGTCTGGCAGCATCTGTGAAGAAAAAAAAAGTTAACGTTTCGGCGTCCCGTGACCTTTCCTCAGAACGGATCTTCACAGATGCTACCAGACCTGCTGTGCTTTTCCAGCAACTTCTGTCTTTGTTTCAGAACAGCAGCTGACAGCTCCTTGAGTGACAGTTTACGGGACCAGTCGAAAAGCGCGTCCATCCCTGTCGAGGGCCAGAACAACCAACCCACCAATCAGCAGCTGGTCAATAAGGTGGACTCGGCGACAGGTTTTAGTTCACGAAAGGAGGACGAGCGGCCTAGCGTCCGCCGATACGGCCTAGCGTCCGCCGATACGGCCAACTTGGGTCACCACTCACGGGTCAATAAGCAATCAACTACCCACTGAAAGCCTCTGCTCGGCCGGATCTATTATAGATAGCAGGCCACTTCTGAAAAGTTCGACACGAAATGGCCGATATAGTAGCAATCATAAACTCCGGAGAGCGAGGACACCCGAGCAGCCACTCAGTCTGTGTATACAGGCACTTTCTCATGGCGACCAGTTACCTGAGTGTGCGTTAGCAGCAAAGCTCTAAACACTACCGCTCCATCCTGCTGTCGGCCTTTCTCACCTCCGCTCAGCCGACGTGGCCGCAACGTCATCAAGTTCTCAGCGGATTTCCTTCAATCCAATCAAATTGAACGTTAGATCGGGGATTGGTGCCATTGTACCCATTCGCTGATGTATTGGGACTGCTGATTGGGCCGTGGCCAAGCCCACCAAAACAAATCCCCTGTCGGCAGTGGGGGCGGCGCCGACGACGCCAACAACTGTATGGACCTGGTCAAGAGTGAACTAGGGAGACAGGGCTGCTCCAACAGTTTCGGAGGACTCGAGTCCAACATCAATGGGCCCCAGATTTCCCGTCAACACAGGGTGTCAATTCCCCAGACGTTAAATCTTCTTTTCACTGCTGCAAGGAACCCGAGTGAAAAATCACTAGGATTTTTTTAATAACAAATTCACACAGCACACATGAAATAGGAAACTGAAATTGCACGCGAGATAAGACACGGAAGTGAGGCTGCTACCCCATTCAGTGTGATTGTGGGCCATGTGGACTTGAAGGGCTGAATAGCCTGCTTCCACACTGATTCTCCTCTGCAAGATGGGACCATGACATACAGTTGTTGTAATATTGTCCTCTTAATTAAGGGATATAAGCCATAGGGTATGATTAGCTATGATCGCATTAAAATAGCAGAACAGGCTCGAGGTGGGCCCATTCCTGTTCCTAATTCAATCACAAGCTGCCAGCATAACTGAATCAAGGCAGTTGATAGTCTAATAGTACCGATGTCCAAAAGGTCTGATGAAGAGTCATCTGGACTGGAAACCTTAGATTGCTTTCCCTCCATGGTTGCTGCCTGAACTCTGTGATCTCCAGCACTTTTTTGTTTTTAGTACAGATTCCAGTATTTGCAGTAATTTGCTCCTAGATAGTCTAACAGTTGTTTGTTTAAAGTCTTTTAACAGATCCTTTTTGTGTTTCCAGCTGGTTATAATTATAGAAGTCAGAATTTGAAGTAGAGATAGTAGGAACTGCAGATGCTGGAAAATCTGATATAACAAGGTGTAGAGCTGGATGAACACAGCAGGCCAAGCAGCATCATAGGAGCAGGACTGTTTTGCCACTATTTGTATGCTTCTGGCCACCAAATATTGGAAAGGAGAAAATTTGGAAATTACTGAAATACCATAATAGAAATGAGGAATTACATTTATAACAATATAAAGGACAGAGAAGCTAGTTTAGGAATTTCCAAAATAGCTTCAAGATATCTATCAATGTGTGTCCAATGCAACAGGGAAGGAAGCACTGCTGGAACTACTTCTAGGGAATGAGGTTGGATAGGTGGAGCATATTTCAATGATATAGCATTTGGAGATGTTTGAAGGGTTATTGAAGGATAAATGTCCTACCTGAATGAAAATGTAAGCAGGAACTAATTCAGATTTAAGATTGAAGTCCAAAAGTGAGATGGAGGAATATGGTTATGATGTAAATGGCCAGATATGAAAGAAATATTGCAGATTGAATTGTAGCAACATGACATTAAATTATTCTAACAAGTCATTAGTTTTCTGAAATTATTAGATTATCAGCATTGGGAAAATCATGAATGTAATATGTAGTAGAAAGTCAGTTAAGTGACCAAGGTGCTGTCTTGCACTGAAAACTATCAGAGCAATCAAGTGACTTATCCAGGTAATTACAGCTTAGAAAGATATTTTCTGCTATCAGAAAGGACCTGGAATAAGACTGAGAAAGAGATAGTTATTCAGTGCAGTACACTGTAAGATCCAATCAATTTTATAAGTGAAGTTCAAAGTTAAACTCTGGTAGCTTATGTCTGCAGTTGATATTTAGTAATTGAATAGAAAGATTATCTTGTGCACATTTTCATGGTTAAAAATAGAAAACCACTATGTGAGAGTATCATGGTAGACAAACAAAAGGCTGGAAGAACACAGCAGGCCAGGCAGCATCTGGAGGAAAGGAACAGTCAACGTTTCGGGTATTACCCTCCTTCAAGCCAACTCCTTTCCTCCAGATGCTGCCTGGTTGCTGTGTTCTTCCAGCCTTCTGTTTGTCTACCTTGGATACCAGTAACTGCAGTTTTTTTTGTCTCCAGTGAGTAAGTATGATGCCTTCTTCATTAATGAATTAAAAATATGACTCCTACTTGAACTGCTGGGAAAACAGAGTTAATATTGTATAAATCAGCCTAAATGATGACAATGCTACATTCCACTACACTAGTTTTAAAGCTCTTTGAACATGTTAAGGAAATTAGGGGTTGGAATTTCCTCATCCTTCAGTGATGTGGGCAATGGCATGAAATCTGGTAAAATACAGCAAGAATAAAAACATCTGATTTTTCCCTTACAATTTCAACAGCAATTTTGAATATCAAAAACAGCAACAACTACCTTAATAATGAGTTACAAATTCATGGAATTAACTAATTTCACTTCATTCATATGCAGTTTTTAAAGGGTTCGGAGAAGTCAGGCCACTGAGGGAGCACATTCTAGGAGTTCGGCTTGGTTTGAAAGGAAAATACAAGTGACATCATAGGAAAGTCACCAGTTTAGCAGCTGCTGTGGGTATTGTATTTCGACTCCAATAATTTTGAAAAACATGAATTTGTAAACTAGCACAGTAAAGAAAACATTTCTAGGCACACAAGACACAACTGACTTGACAGTAAGTTAAAAGAATTTCTACTTTGTACTTTTTCTTGTACAGTCACTATAAACTTGACAAGATTCAAGTAAGTGAAGTAAAAGTTTAAGATTAAGGAATAGCAGGCCAACTCAGTCAAGCAGAATGCCTGTCTTATGGCAAGTGGGAAGTCATAGACTCTTCTCATGACTCAAACGAGCTAATGTGCAAAAACTATCACTGGCTGCACAAGCTTGAGCCTCAGGTTCCTGAGCTCAAGAAGTGGTAGGGATCACTGAGGTGCATCAGTGATATAGACAACTAAGTGGACGGCCAGTTCAGAGAGATGGTCACACTGCAATTTAGGGGCAAGCAGACAGCTAATGGGTGATAGGTAATGTAGGAGTCCCGAGAAGGTTCTGCTCACTAACCAATTTTCAATTCTGGATATTGGTGAGGGCAATGGATACATGGAGGAGTGCTGAAAGGCCAAGCTGCAACACCACAGATAGATCCAGTGTAGAGTAGTGGAGGAAGAAGAGCAGAAAGATGGTTCTGATTAGAGAATTTCTAGTTAGGATAACAGGTAGGTTTCTGTGTGGCTGTCATTTGTCACACAGCTGCATGACATTCTGCTGGAGGAGGGCAAACAGGCAGAGATGGTGCTCTACACTGGTACTAACAACTAGGTAAGCAGGAAGATATTCACTCATAGGATATGGGCATCACAGGCTGGGCCAGCATTTATTGTCCATCCATGTGGTCCAGCAATCCGTATTTAGGGATCTAGGTAGAAAATTTGCAAGCAGCATTCTTGAAGTAGTAATCTGCAGATTACTCCCACTGCAATGTACCAAGTGACTATAGAAATAGGAAGAGAAGAGATATGAATGTGTGGCCAGAACAATGGCATTGGAAGGACGGCTTTAGATTCCTGGGACACTGGAACAGGCTCTGGAGAAAGTACACCTGCACAAACCAGATGGGTTGCACCTCAACAGAATCAGAGTTCCTTGCAGGACATTTTGCAAGTGCTGTTGAAGAACTTTTAAACTAATTCAGTAGAGATATGGGAACGGGCAGAGAACGTTAAAAAGTAATCCAAGGGTGCAAAAATGCTGGTGGGCAGGTAATACTAGAATGGTAAATTAATAAAATCATAGAATTTTTAATACAGAAGGACTTCAACTCGTTATGTCTGTACTGGCTCATAAGACCATAAGACATAGCAGCAGAAATTAGGCCATTTGGCCCATCGAGTCTGCTCTGCCATTCAATTATGGTTGATAAGTTCCAGAACCCCATTCTCCTGCTTTCTCCCCATAACCCTTGATCCCTTGATAATCAAGAACCTATCTATCTCAGTGTTAAATGTACTCAATGACCTGGCCTTCACAGCCTTCTGCGGCAGTGAATTCCATTGATTCACCACTCTCTGGCTGAAGAAGTTTCTCCTTATCTCCGTTCTATTCCCTTTACTCTAAGGCTGTGACCTTGGGTCCTAGTCTCTCCTATTAATGGAAGCATCTTCCCAACATCCAGGCCATTCAGTATTCTGTAAGTTTCATTTAGATCCCCCCTCATCCTTCTAAACTCCAATGAGTATAGTCCCAGAGTCCTCAAACATTCCTCATATATTAAGCTTTTCATTCCTGGTACCATTCTCGTGAACCTCCACTGAACCCGTTCCAGGGCCAGTACATCCCTCCTGAGATTATGGGGCCCAAACCTGCACACAATACTCCAACTGTGGCCTGACCAAGGTCTTATAAAGCCTCAGTAGTACATCCCTGCTTTTATATTCAAGTCCTCTCAAAATAAATGCCAACATTGCATTTGCCTTCCTGTCTACTGACTCAACCTGCTCCTGAAAGACCTCCTCAGCATGTTCCATTCTCTAGTGCTATCCCTGTAGCCCTCTAATTCACCACTTTCAATGACATATCCACCTCATTTGAAACTTATACAACCTTCTCCATCACTCTCCCAGGCAACACATTCCAAATGCTAACAATTTTCTGAGTAAAGAAATTTCTCTTCATCTCACTTCGAACTCTCTTGCTATAGTCTTGAAATTGTGACCCCTAGTTACAGGCATACAAATAGTGGAAACAGAATATTGTTCTTTTACTATCAAAATTGTTTATAAGGTTACCTCTTAATCTTCTCTGTTCCAAGGACAATTAGGCCAATTTCTCTCATTTTTCTTATATCTAAAATCACTCATTTTTTGGATCTTTCTAGTAAATAGTAATTCTAATTGTTAAAGTTAGAATAAGGGACAAAGGAATGATGCCTAATATCAAGATTATACTGCATGCATATGAATGCACAAAATAAAGTTAAAAAGATTGAAAGAGTTACAGACACAGATTGCCTTGTGAGATTATCATGTTGTGGCAATAACGGAGACTTGGCTCAAGGAAAGAAAATCTGGGTGTTAGATATTCCTGATTAAAAGGTGTACAGAAAACATAAAGGAAAAGAAAGGGGTGTTGGCATTTTTGATTAAGCAGCAGAACTGGAGAAAAAGTTGTTTCAGATCGTTCAAGAACAGAATCAATTTGACTAGAGCTAAGGAACAAAAGGGGTGCAATTCTATTGCTTGGGATAATTTATAGACCATCAATTAGTGGGAGTGAACCAGAGAAGAAAATTTGCAAGGAAATTGTAGAGAGGTGTAAACATCACAGTGGTTATAATGGGAGACTTTAATTATCTGTACATGCACTAGGATGGTGGTAGTGTAAGGGGCAGTGAGGAAGCAGTGTTCCTAGAATGTGTTCAGGACAATTTCCTACAGCAGTGTCCAATCAAACAAGAAAGGAGGCACAGCCTGATCTGGTTTTTGGTAATGAAATGGACAAAGTAGATCAAGTGAAAGTGAGAGAACATTTAGGGGGCAGTGAACATTGTAGCATAAGGCGAGGTGAGGTGTGTGTGACATCAAGGCCACATTTGACCGAATGCAGCATCAAGGAGCCCTAGCAAAACTAGGTTCAATGCTGCTGGTTGGAGTCATACCTGACATATAGGATGGTGGTTGTGATTGTTGGAGGTCAGCCATCTCAGCTCCAGCACATCTCTGCATCGGTTCCACAGAATAGTGACCTAAGCCCAACCATCTTCGAATGCTTCATCAATGGCCTTCCCTCCATTATAAGGTCAAAAGTGGTGATGTTCGCCGATGATTGCGTACTGTTCAGCATCATTCCTGACTCTTCAGACACAGAAGCAGACAGGTTTGAAATTGATAAGCTGTCTGTACCTAAAGTTTACCATATGAAAAGTATCCAAGGATATTGAAGGAAGTGTAAGTGGAAATGGCAAAGGCAATGGCTATAATCTTTCAATATTCCCTGGGTTCATGGGTAGTGCCAGAAAATTGCAGAATTCCAAACATTACAAACTTTGTTCAAAAACATAGTAAAGATTGGCCCAGCAATTGTAGACTGGTCAGTTTAACTTCAATGATGGGAAAACATCTAGAAACAATTATTCAGCAATGAATTAATAGTCATATGGAAAAATGTGGGTTGATTTGGGAGAGTCAGCAAGGACTTAAGGGAATATTGTGTTCAATCTGTGGGAGTTTCTTTTTCCAAAACAACAACAGGGAGAGTTGATAAGGGCAAAGCTGTTAATGTGTATAAATGAACTTACAACAAAAAAATTGATACAATGAAAAAGACAGACTTGAGGAAAGTTATAGGTCATGGAAGAAAAGGAATAGTAGAAACATGGATGCAAAATTGGCTGAGGGCAGGAAACAGAGGAATTGGTATTTTTCAGGTTGGAATAAGGGTTTTAGTGGAGTTCCCAGGTGTTGTTATTGGGAACCTTGCTTTTCCTGATCTATGTAAATGGTCTAGATCTTGGTTTGCAGAGGACAATTTCAATAATAAAAACTTAGGAGGATTGTAAACTGAAAGGAGGACAGTGTAGAACCTCAAAATTACACTGACATGTTGAAGAAGTGGGCGGGGTAGGTGACAGAAAATGTTCCCTCAAATTTTCTTTAGTTCTTCGTGGGCCTCCAAGGTCTGGGTATGGCACCAACATCTGAAACCAGAAGTCAGTGCTGCAGTCCGTGTTGGCACACTGATCACTGTGCATGGAACATTTTTTTTTTCCCTAGTCATGTTGTGGGCATCGCTGCCTGGGTCATTATTTATTGCCCATCCCTCATTGCCCTTGATATTGGTGGCGAGCTGCCTTTTGAACTATTGCAGTTCATGTGCTGTCGGTAGACCTGCAATGCCATTCAGAAAGGAGTTACAGGATTTTGACCCAGTGGCACTGAAGGAATAGCGATATATTTCTAAGTTGGAATGGTGTGGCTTGGAAGACTTGTAGGTGGTAAGGTGCCCATGCATCTGTCCTTGTCCTTCTAGACGGCAGTAGTCATGAGTTTGGAAGGTGCTGTCTAAGGAGACTTGGCGGATTTCTGCAATGCACCTTGTAGATGCTACACACTGCCGTCCCTGGGGGGTGAGGGGAGCAAATATGGATGAGCAAGTGTATTTACAATGATGATTCACATGTGTTCCACATGTACCCTTGGCATTTTCTTTTTCTTTACCCTCCTTTTGTCTATCTGAAAATTATGCCACCCAGCCTAATCCCACTTTCCATGATTGATCCATGGCTTTGCAGGTTGTGACACAAAATGCATATCCAGACATTTTTTTTTAAATGAGTTGAGGGCTTCTGCCTCTACTAATGTCTGTAGCATTGAGTTCCAAACCCCAACCATCCATTGGTTGAAAAAATTTCCTCATCTCCACTGTCATCTTTCCACTAATCACTGTGCACCCTAATCACTGACATGTCTGCTAATGTAAATAGGTGATTCCCATCTATACTGTCCACAGCCCTTGCAATTTTGTGGATCTCAATCAAATTTCCCCTAAGCCTCCTCAGATCTGAGGGGAATAATCCCACACAATCCACTCTTTCTTCATAGCTATAATTTTCCAGTCCTGGAAAACTCCCATTGCAATTATGTCATTTCTAAAATGGGATAAAGAACAAAACCATTTTTGATTCTGTTTGATTGCATTAAATTTTTCTAAATGTTCCATTATTTCTTCCTTACAATTTTCCCAACAACAGATGTCAGGCTAACTGGTCTATAGTTTCCTCCTTTCTGTATCTCTCCCTTCTTGAGCAGCAGCATCACATTAATGGTCTTGCTATCTGCTGGAACCCTCCCGAAAATCTAGAGTTCTAGAATATTTTGACCAATGCCTCCAACTCCAATTCCGCATAAAAGGTGTCATTCCTCTCACATTATTTCCCAATTTCATGGTCAGTGGTGAAATTGACCTCAAAGAGCTGTCCAAAATAAAAATGTCACCACCACTGATATGGATTTTCCATCTACTGACATTAGTTTGATGCTGACACAATATCAAAGAGATTTCTAGGCATTAGCAAGCATGCCATCACCAAACAATCATACTGAAATTTTCTCAGACAGCAAAGCAGGAAGAAAAAAAAAAATCACAGAATTAATTAACTTTTGATTTAAAATTACAAAAGCAAAATAAATGAGCGGGTGTTAAGCATGGAATCAAGGTAAAAGCTGATTTATCAAGCAGTTTTTAAAAATATGTAAAAATTCAAGTGTACTTGAAAAATGATATTCCTCAAATTGAAAATTACTTTCTCATGGCCATTAGGCTGTTCAACAGTAATTATGTACTCAGCATGCTATTAAAATCTCAGTCATAATGCAACTTTTAAAAGGGTTTTACAATAAAACAGTTAAGTGTAAAAGGGAGAGTTCTTGTCAGTATAGTCATCTGACATGATTGTAACTTGGGAAGTTTCAATAGTGGATCCTACAGGGAAGCATAGAAGTACTTACAGCAACTTCTGGATTTTCCATGTTCAACTGTGTACTTTGGACACGAGAGGTTGCTGTCAGTTTGAGGATGGCAATGCTGATGGGTTTGACATAATCATAACTGCAGATACAAAATAATGCTTCTTGTGATCTTCAGTTTATAAAGGACTTGTATCAAAACATTGTTTTTTTGTTAATGTATATTCTCAATCTACTCTACCATTAATTTCACAAAAAAAAATTCTTACAGTGAAAGGACTAAACATAGTGGGACAGTGCACTGGAGTACAGTCACACACACAAATACATTACTATACAATGATAACAGCTTTATGTACAATGCCAACAGAGTGGAGTTCCTAATCTCAACTACATTACTGAGGAAAATTTCAACTAAAGGAAAAATTAGGGAATGAGTTTGAGTTTTGTTGAGAGCTTGAAAAACCAGTGGAACTACATTCTAGAGATCAACACAGGGACGTACCCCCTGCTGACCTTCAAGGTAGCATTAAATAAAGTTCTAAGAAACAAGGTCATCATTACAGATTGAAGGAAATATTATAAGCTTGTCAGATTGCTTCTCAAAGGCCAGAAAGTAACTTTTGGTAGGGGTTTCCTGAATTGGATACGGACTATTTTATTGCCTCTCTTGAGCAATGTCAATACACATGAATGTATGATGATTAAAATAAAATCCAAAATTGATATCATTGTAAAATACAGAACCGTTGATAAGTTGCTATTAACTAAAAATAGTACAAGAAGTACCTTTCCAGCAGAAAGAAATTATTGTAGTTAGAGTAACATTTCAACTTTGCAATTGTTTGCCACTGAGGCACTTCTTCATACATGAATTATCAGATCATCAACAAATTAACCATATAGCTTTAGTAGAACACCTGAAATTAAATAGGCTGTTTAAATAAAAGAATAATATCTTTGATTCAATTCAAATGTGGCCCTCATACTGACTCTAGTAAACAAAGGATTTTTGAAAAGCACATGTTTACAATTTTACTGCTCAACATCACATTAGTAAAAATGTAGACAGAAGTGTTATTTATCACTGTAGGACTTTTTTTATTGACTCTCTGATAAAGTAGAAGGTAATACACATTACGAACACAGTAAAAATCAAAATGTACATACAACAGTTATGTTAATCACAAGACGCATTATAATGTGCAGACAGTGAGAACATCTTCTCCAGTGTGCGCCCTCTGTTTCTCTTAATATAACTAAAAGTACAGAATTCTGCTTTCATCTTTTCACTTTTTTGCTTCACGATAGTAACAAAAGATCACATTTAAATCTAATAACATGCTTAACAACCTTTTGAAAAGTTGCAGCACAGGAGTTGGGCTGCATTAAGTGAATACAACGTGATTCACAAAAGTTCCTCCATTTAAAAAATCTTTAAACATCTTTGTAGTTGCAATTATTTACATGGTAATTATTGGCCATTTTTAGAACTTTGGAAGTAAAATTTTCAATACTACAATGTCCACTTTTGCCATCTGGCCAATAATCCTTTAACATTTTATTAAGCTGCCTTCTTGTTTCACATACCTTAAAATTGTATTTTAGCTAAAACGTATTCAGACTTTAATAAAGGGATACAAGTTCAAGTGACAGAATATTAGACCAATAACATAAGTTAAATCATAATTACATGATGATTTGATAGAATTGAAGTGAATTTTTTGCACAAGTCAAAAAGCACTCTTAAAACATCTTAGGAAAAAATCTAACATGGTGCAAAACAATGACATCACAGGCATAAATTGAAGCTTTAATAGTCATGATACTTGTCATGGATGGATCATAACAGGAAAGATTGTTTCTTTTACTTTAATATTAATATACAAAGTATATTTGGCAAAGGTATGAATACCCAAGCTTTACACAAAAAACTTGCTTATTTCAAGTATCCATGTATAAAAATGTAGCAGCGTCTTATGGCTGAACTAAAATTAGTTGTGCAACACAATACTAGTAACCATAAGATGTGTGACCTGGCATGGTTTGTGTTGAGAACACTAACTACTAATTTCTACCAGTTGTTCAGGAACAAAGAAACATTAAATTATAGCTACTAGTAATTTTACCAATAAAATAATTCCTCTTTCAAAGAGGGAAGATGAGTCGATGCAGTCTAATTAAGGATATCCTTTATTTCCTCAAAACGAAGCTTAACTAAATAAAAAGTAACTTCAATTATTTCATACTCAAGTGTATTTAATGGAACATATCAGATTGCATTGGAAGCCATCAGATATAATGTCACCTTGCTTTGTCACAATTCCAATAGTGTAAAGCAACATACATATGTAAACCCACCTTAAATCTACTGGACTCTGCCTTGAATGACTCCTGGTAGTTTTCATGCTCAATCATCATTCATGCATGCTCGACTGTCACAGTGCAGTATGGGAGTGTCACATAATCTATACCATTATATACAGTGTTTTTCAGGACATGTTGTATATGATTGCAGTAAAGGTCCAGTAGCAGGACTATTGATTTCTCTTAAGTATCCTAAAAGTTACCATTAAAGGGTTTGCTAATAAGACAACAACTAGCACATATGTTTAACTATAACTCTCAAAATGAAACAAAATATCATGGGCAATATTTAAACTTTTCTTCCATGTATTACTGGCAGGAGATACTTATAAAACACTCAAAACCCTATTGACATCTAGTGTTGAACCATAACATAGGATGAATAAATGAATCATTCAAAAAGCTACTATTGCTTTTGTAGTAAATGCCCTTTTTAGCTATTTTTTGTTTAAAAATCATCTTTAAAATTGTATCCTACTGTGTTAATGTTTTTTTTCCACAATACACTTATACATTGACTATGGAACACATAATTACAGAAAATAATTGTGCCAGATACGTCAGTATTTGAGAATTTGTTTGATCGGAAAGAATTCTGTTTCAATTATCCAAATAGGTAGATGCAAAGAAAAATATCGTCTTCAGAACCAATGGCTTCAGATAAGTTGTTAAATTTATTTTTCAGCCTTTCTCCTAATATTCAGTTGTGGTCTTTTCCAAGAAAAGGCTTCTAACATCCAGCATGGAAGCTAGTTCTAGAATGTGATTCTGGAGTGCAGGATTCTCCACACTATCTTCTTTCTGCAGCTGTGGATACGTTTCTGGGTAATTCCGAGTTTCCTTTTATTGGAAATGGGAACAGATGAAATTACATAGTTATGCAATAACAATTAATTTTGTAGTATGGTCTTTCCACACATGTAGTATATTTAAGATTACAAATGCAAAAGTACTGCAAACTGATTGACATACTAATGAATTTCACAACTAAAATTGGGATTTAAAAATACATCAAAAATGTAGGTGAACAGCCACATACAGAAAACTATAATGGTTCAAATTAATCATGGAGAGAAAATAAATCAAGAGGAGGAACCAATACAATTGGCTATGCACGCAACAGAAGTAAAGAAATTTGGGGGAGGTGTCAATACTAATTCCTCCACTGGCAGCAGAGATGTTCTAAAATGAAGGGTTATGATATAAAATTAAATAAGGTTTTATCTTAATCATATTTTAAGATTCTGAGACATCCATCTGATGCCCTTGTCCTTTTGGATGGTACAGATCACACTTTTGAAAGCTGCTGCATAAGTCTCGGTGAGTTGTTGCAGAGCATCTTGTAGATGATACAAAAGTATTTATGTAATCCCATAACAAGAGGAGGCATGGAGTTTATTAGCATTGACTGATGCACTAATCCGTTACATTTCATGGAGTGAAATGTTTACAATTATGAAAAGGTCTGATTTAAACCAAATAAGCTTTATTTCTCATGTAAATGATAATCATATTTGGAGTGACAGTGAAAAACAGAGGAGAGGCAGATAAACTTTGGTGGTGATGGAAATGGGGAAATTTTGTCTCTAAACATATAACTTTAGGGTCAAGTGGTAAATTTGGTGGATGGACTAACAAACAAAAGAGGGTCAGGTCTGACCACAATTATAGAAACATAAAGTAGGAACAGGCATGGGCCATTTGGCTGTTCAAGCCTACTACGTGATTCAAAATGATCATACTGATCATCCAATTTAGAAATGTGTTCCCACGATTTCCCCATATCCTTTAATCCTTTTAGCCCCAAGAACTATATCTAATTCCTTATTGAAAACATTCAATGTTCTGGCCTCAACTGAGTTCTGTGGCCAAAAATATCACAGGCTCACCACTGTAGGTGAAGAAATTTCTCATCGGAGTCCTAAATGGTCAACCTGAGTGAGCCCTGGTTCTGAAACACATACACACAATTCTGAACAAAAGCTCCCACTGCCTTCACTGCATTAAGAAAAAGTACATTATTGACATCAGATCCTCTCTTTCAATATCCAGCCTTGGCCAGATGAGATACACAGCTACAAAGTAGGATTGGCATTGATCTAGCAGTCGGGTTTTTACCCCCACCCATCAAGCTATCTACCTAGCAAGATGTAACATGAAAGGGAAGCACCTAAAGACATGCTTAAAATTCACAACACTTTGTGTTACACGAGGAATCCAAAATACGTAACTATAAAATGCACATAAAAACACTTGACAAATATTTTATTAGTCATGTTATTCCATCAAGATTGCAGTGGTAAATCCAGAATTATCCACCTGCCTGTTCACCACCTCCTAAACCAAGATTTAAAACACTGAGGAGAAACTTGTGTTCTTTCTTCATCCTAGCATATTGTATACTATGCTTACAGCCTAGCCTTTGCAACAATAGGCAGACAAAATTCAGATTATGTAGATCAGTGTCAAGTACCTGTTCTGTCCTCTGTAACCCTAAATTCCCGGTCATTTGCTACTTGAATTCCCATCTACTCCCACTCTGACTTCATAGAATCCCTACAGTGTGGAACCAGGCCCTTCAGCCCAACAAGTCCACACCGACCCTCAGAGCATCCCACCCAAAACCCAGCCCCTATACCACTCATCCCTGAATACTATCAGCAATTTAGCATGGCCAATCCACCTGGCCTGTGCATCTTTGGACTGTGGGAGGAAACCGGAGCACTTGGAGGAAACCCACGCAGACACGGGGAGAATGTGCAAACTCCACGTAGACAGTCGCTTGAGGGTGGAATTGAACCCAGGTCCCTGGTACTGTGAGGCGGCAGTGCTAGCCACTGAGCCACCATGCCGACTTTTTGATCATCAGCATTTTAACTTGATTTTTGTGAACCTCAATGCAAACTTCAAGAACAGCATTGTATTTTTCAGGTCTCTGGCTTTCACACTGATTTTTGTAACCCCAGGTCTTAACCCAGTTCCCCTTTGTTTCCCGAAAAAAATGGTGATTTTGGGTCGATGTGGTAGCATTATCTTTGGGGATGGATCAAAGGAATACATTTGTTTTGGGAAACCCTACACCCAAACGTTTTACTGCCACTTGGTCTGCATCATTTTTGTTGACTTGTTTTGATTTTCCTGAGCTACTGGTGTCTATTTGCCATGTTGCCTTTCTACCTGCTTCTTCACCCATCTCTGTCTAACCAGCTATTCCAACTTCCATCGAGTATCACAAATCTTCCTTTATTTGATTTTTTTCATGGGGTCTTCTATTATCTTGTGGCAATATCAATTCTGTCACTTAACCATCTCTTGTTTACAGAGAAGTACTGTGAACATGATTTAGTTTATTTCCCATATTAGATGTGCTATTCCCATCTCTTAGTTTTACGTTCCTTTCAAAATGATGTTTATCAGCAAAATTTTCAAGGATCCACACAAAATATTTGCTTGTCTGTTTTCTCCTTAGACTCTGCTTGCTCTACTGAGCATTTCCAGCATTTTCTGTTTTTGTTTCAGATATCAATATCTGCATTTCTTTTGCTTTTTCTACCTGATAACAGATATAACCTTGATCAAATCTACACTGAAAGCATAAGAGGCTCAGATACCTTTGCAGTTCTTGATTTAGTCAAGGACTCCTAAAATCACCAGCTCATGCTGGGTGCTATTCCATTCATTCAAAATACTTTTCAAACCTATCCTGTCATCATTATTTTTATAAAGAACATCAGAGCCCTTCCTGATTCTGCTTCATATTTTGTGGCAAACTGAAGACTATCCAGCAGGGACATAAGTATATATTTTACTGAATCTAAACTCAAAACTTTTATGTTATTTACTGCTGTACTGCTGAAGTAAATGAAAAGGTGCAAATCTTACCCTGAACATTTTGTGAAGTCTCATGGTTGCAGAGCAGAGAATAAACCGGGTCAACAATAATCGAAGAAAATCATCACCAAAAAATTGAAGGAATGCTTGATCTGTCACACACAAAAAAGGAACAGGAATATACTTTAAATGCCACATTCAGGACAATTGGTGCCAATCAGTTGTCCAACATATTGTGGATATAGCTAAACTAATTGCAAACTTAGGAACAGAAACAGAAGTTGTTCGAAAAGCTCAGCAGGTCTGGCAGCATCTGTAAAGAAAAATCACAATTAATGTTTCAGATCCAGTGATCCTTCCTTAGAATTTATCCTTCCTCAGAATGTGCAGATGTA